ATAACATATTCTGCATATGCTGCCTCTTCCTATTACAGTGAGCAACACATTAAGGTTACTACTAGTTGCTGATCCACCATGTAGGAGAGCACAAAATTCTTTAAGCAATGTTTTCTTCTTTCTTATTATTTATGGCTCTAGCAAATTATTTGAGGTGGAAACTATGGACCTAAGTCAGCAATACATTTATTTAAATATATGCTTACTTCTACAGTTTTTCATTAAGGCAATAATGCTTTATTTAATGCAAAAACTTTAAAGCTATTTTGCTTTTAGTGTAAGGCCCACTGATTTTACTGAAAGAGTAATAAGATTAAGTTTTCTAGATCAGTTCTTAAATATACAGGAGGGTAAGGAAATAAGGAAACAATTGCAATGAATGAAAATATATATATATATATATATATATATATATATATTTGATTTTGCAAGGTGGCAAAGCAGAGATTGGCTCTTCATTATTTTTGGTAAGATTTTTCAATATAAATTCAAAAATTATTAGAGCAGGAAAACAATAGTACAGATAGAGTGGGACAAAAGTATCACATTACCTATAAAAGTGAATAGAAGAGAATGTGACATAAAAAGTGAATGCAAAGAGGGGCACATGGAGGACAAGAATAAGAGTTATAGGAAAAGGGAATATGCTTGATGACTGAGAACAGTAAACTCTAATATGGGAATTCTGTATGGATAATTTAATTTAATTCAAATAAATTTCATTCCATTTGGTACAATTTTGTTTACATGAAGGTAATACTGACATCTGGACTGCCATCATTTAAGATGTTAATTTATTCCTTTGAATCTGTATTCAATTGAATATTCTTCTTTGTGCAATCATGATGTTCTAAGCAAGGGACAAACTATAAACCCCACATATCAACACTTCTTTTTAGCAGCTCAAGTTACAAAAGAAACTTCTACAGAATAGTTGCAGTTTCTCAACACATTTGTTTGCTGAGAAACTGAGAGAATGTTAACAAGTGTGAGTGAGAGGTTAGAAGGCATGAGATTAAATGTTAAGTTTTGTTGATAACTTTTTGTTGATAAGACATTTAAAAACACATATGTGAAAAATATTCCAGAATTAAATATAAACAAATATATAAAGGAAAATATTTTGTGGATACCATAGGGCTGTTTTTGTTGTTGTTTGTTTGTTTGTTTGTTTTTCCTTCATTTTTTTTTCCTTGATATAGAAACAAACAAGAAAAGAGAAATATATATAGTAATTTGTCCAGAAATAGGAATGCTAGTCATGGCATTAAAAGGAAGAGTATTCATGACATATTTGCTTAGGTTATTTTTATGACTGATTTAGGACCCCTAAGCTTTCATGGGTTTCTGACTGTGCTTATTGGTGGGGTGCACTGGGCACTAACCTATAGATAAGAGGAGGACCTGGAAAACTATAGACTGGTGAGGCTCACCTCTGTGCCTGGGAAGATCATGGAAAAGATACTCCTGGAAGCAATGTCAAGGCATGTGCAAGACAAAGAAGTGATCTAAGACAACCACCACAGCTTCAGCAAGGGCAAATCGTGCCTTACAAAACTGGTAGCTTTTTGTTTTCACTTGATGAAGTGACTGCATCAGCTGAGAAAGGAAGACTGACCAATGTTGTCATCCACCTGGAATCCTGAAAGGACTATGACACAGTTCCATGTAACATCCTGATCTCCAAACTGGAGAGATGAGTGTACCATTCAGTGGATAAGGGATTGTCTTAAAGGTTGCACCCAGGGAGTCGTGATCAATGACTTCACATCCAGGTGGAGGTTGGTGATGAGTGGTGTCCCACTGGCGTCTGTCCTGAGACCACTACTATTTACTATCTTTATCAATGACATAAACAGTGGGATCAAGTGCACCCTCAGCAAGGTTGCAGATGACACCAAGCTGAGTGGTGCACTTGATACACCAAAAGGACGGGATGCCATCCAAAGGGACATGGACATGCTGGAGAACTGGGCCCATGTGAACCAGGTTCAACAAGGCAAAGTGCAAGGTGCTGCACCTGGGCTAGGGCAATCCCAGACATGAGAACAGACTGGGAGAACTAATTTAGATCAGCATTGCAGAGAAGGACTTGGGGGTTCTGGTGGATGAAAAGCTCAACAAGCGCCAGCAGTGTGCACTTGCAGCACAGAAGGACAACTTCATCCTGGGCTGCATCAATAGAAGAGTGACCAGCAGGTCAAGAGAGGGGATTGTCCCCCTCTGCTCTGCTCTTGTGAGGCTCCACTTGGAGTACTGCGTCCAAGTCTGGGGCCTTCAGCACAAGAAGGATGTTGATCTGTTAGAATGGGTCCAGAGGAGGGCCACAAAGATGTCAGAGGGCTGAAGCACCTCTGGTATGAAGAAAGGCTGAGAGAGCTGGGGCTGTTCAGCCTGAAGAAAAGAAGGCTGACCATATTAAAGAAGAGAAGGGGGACCACATTGCAGCCTTTCAGTACCTTGTTGCCTTCAGGGGCCAGTGGCGACCTGGTTCAGGAATGGCACAGCGACCAACCCCAGGCCGCTCGGTCCATTGGCTCACAGACATCAATGTGGTGGATATGGTGGATGGCAAATGGCATTTATTGTCGAGTCACATGGTGTTATATAGCCGAGGCCCACAACGTCACTTCCACTTGATTACATCACAGACCACGCGCTACTGTTCATCAAGGGAGGGGCTCTACCCTTCCGTACAGTGCGACATCTTCCGGCCGCCAGACCCTAACTACCCACAGTACCTAAAGTTTTTTTTTTTTTTTTTAAAGATGGAGAGCAACTTTTTGCTCAGTCAGATAATGACATGGAATGCTTTTAAACTATAAGAGGGGAGATTTAGATTAGGAGGAAATTCTTCACTCAAAGAAGATGGTGAGGCACTGGAACAGGTTGCCCAGAGAAGTTGTGGATGTCCCATCCCTGGAGGTGTTCAAGACCAGGTTACATGAGGCCCTGGGCAACCTGATCAAGTGGGTGGCTTCTCTGCCTATGGCAGGGGGGTTGGAACTAGATGGTCTCTAAGGTCCCTTCCAACCAAGGCCATTGTATTATTCTATGTCTTGCACTCAAAGAGAAAAGCAGTTTCTTGGGTATGTTTCCTGTCAGGGTGACCTATTACACTTATTTATGACATTGACTGTCTGAAAACATGGATTGTTTTCTGTGTAAGAGTTATTTATGTAGCTGAAAATGGTATTTGGAGACTTAGAATATTTGCCTGAGGGTAGATCTCATATTAAGATAAACATACCAATAGAGAAAGCTACATGTTTTTATCTCTTCAGTCAATAAATGCATATTACCATCAAGTTAAGGGCATAGGGACATTGAGCCTGTGTTTGACAGGTCATGGGCAATTAGGAGCTTTGAGACTACAGGATGGGTGCTGATACCAAAAAATTGCAGAGAAAGGTGGTGTTAGTCCAGCCAAGTACCTTGACTATGTCTGTGAAAAACACTATGGAAAAGTGCTGCAGACCATCTATTAGAAAATAGTTACTCTACCACTACTTTAACATTATTTCTAATGACTACAGTAGCTAAGTTTAGCTTATATCCTTAAGCATGAGGACATTCTGTCTTTTTTTTTCTCCGTCTTCCAAATGCAGTTCATATTTGTGCATTTAACACTAGGAGGGACTATTTAGATTATCTATTCTGTATTTTTTTTTTTTTGTAAGACAAAACAAGCTGTCAAGGCATCATTACTTTGAATCATAACAAAATGTTTAGAAACATCCAATTTTGGTATAAGTTGGATGAAATTTTAGCTTTTTACTGCATTATAGTTCTCAGGTTTCTAATGTCAATGTCCAGTCATTGGCTGATGATATTTCTTATGTGATAAAGGAAATAACATTTTTCTTTCAGGACTATCTTGTTTTTAAGTAATTTTTATAGGCAGTGAACAAGTCATTTCTTAATATCCTGTTAAGAAACTGAGAAGACCAAACTTTTATATTTCTTCACCCTGATGCAGACCTTCTGTAACTATCACTAAACTGACTAATCAACTTTTAGAACAGATGAACTGTTTGTATATATAAAAAAAAAGTTTACATATCTGTAAACTGTAGTTAATATGACATAATCATCTATTTTGTATACATATCTATGCATATACTGCATGCCAAGCAACATTGCAAGAGAAAATGTATATGATCAATGTGTCAAGAATTAAATTTTTTAAACCACTGGATTCATTTTAAACAGTAATCTGTTCTTTACCATGTATAAGTGGAAAATATATTTACCAGACGGATCATTTGGTGGTAGAAATTGATATGTTTTTCTTTATTTCCATGGAACTACACAATGATTTAGACCACCCAAGGATTTTGCCTGTCTCATTTCCGTGTTTGTGCAGAATTCCTGAAACCTTAAGACTACATGGGGTTTAATGATTAACCAAATCAGACACTTACAAATCACAGTCACGTCACTGAATCACTAGACTCTGTCATCACACAACATAAACTGTGTAAACTTCATTTATCATGCAGTGAAAGTACAAATCTTTGAGTACTGCTGACAGAGTAGTAGTATGTTTGAATGCAGTCATTCTCTAATCAGTCAAGAAACCCCAGGGGAGAAAAAAAAAAAAAAGATTGAACATTTTCCCTTTCAAAGTATTTTTATACACTTGTCTCAGAGAATACTAAGAATGGGAGATCTTGGAAGTTTTGCTTATTATGGACAGTATTACAAAATTAAGACCTCTGTATCCATTCCTAATTCATAGACCTTATGGGAAAAAGGTCTGTTTTCTTTTTTCTTTTTTTTTTTTTTTTCCCCCCCCTGGAAGTGATAACATAATTTAAACAACCAGTAAGAAATTAATTTGATATGGTCATAAAATCTCGACAATGAACAAAGTATAGAATATAGCCATATTACTTTTTTTTTCTATTAAAAAAAAAAAAAAAGCATAGTGGTGTAACTTTTAGTTCTATCAAAATACCGTTTGAGAAAAATTAAACCATAATAAATGCATTACATACCTTTTGAACAGCTAATTCTTTCAGGATGAATGCTAGAGTCCATTCATATTGTGCATTCTGGCATTACAATTTTTGATGTAATCATTTTCTTGGGAAGGTACTTAGCTGGTTTTAATGTTTCTGTAGTTGATTACCTCCCAGCAACTTCTGATGGAAATTTCCTTGAGACAGTTGGCTTGGCACTGTGATAACAAAGGCAGAGTTTCTGTAACACTTTCTGCCAGAACTGCTAATATACAGTTAAAAAATGCACCATTCAGTGTTGGTGTACTTTTCCTTCGTAACAGAAGTCCTTCAAAAAGCATGTCATTAAGCACAGTTTGTTGTTGTTGTTAATTGTTAGTGTTCTCTCTCTTTCTTGCACATTTGTATACATAATCAGCTTTTGCATAGCTACACTTACTTACTGTTCCTAACCTATTTAATTATTTAACTTACATCAAAAAGGATCTAATCTTCTATACCTTTTTTTTTTTTTTTTTTTTTTTTTTTTTTTTGAGGGTAGGGTAGTATTGTGCAGAAAATGGAAGCCTAATCCTGGCGGAAAATAATTTTTAAAACTTTTTTTAAAATGAAGAACTTGTCCCCAGCATATAGGGAAAGCAGAGGTACTCAGTGACTTTTTTGCCTCAGTCTTCACTGGCAAGATCTCTAGCTACACTTACCAAGTCCCAGAAGGCAAAGGCACTGGGAGAATGATGAGATTCCCACTGTAGGAGAAGATCAGGTTCTAGACCAGCTAAGGAACCTAAAGCTTCACATGTCCATGGGACCTGATGAGATACATCTGAGGATCCTGAGGGAACAGACAGATGTAGTTACTAAGCCACTATCACTCATATTTGAGAAGTCATGGCAGTCCACTGACTGGAAGAAGGGAAACGTAACCCCCATTTTTTAAAAAGGAAGAAAGGAAAACCTGGGGAACCGCAGTCCAGTCAGTTTCCCCTCTGTGCCTGGCAAGATCATGGAGCAGATCCTCCTGGAAACTATTCTAAGGAATATGGAAAATAAGGAGATGATTGGTGACAGCCAACGTGGCTTAAATTAGGGCAGTTCATGCCTGATGAATCCAGTAGCATTCTGGTGGATAGGGAAGAGCAACTGGCATCATCTGGCTGGACTTGTGCAAAGTATTTGAAATTGTCCCCCATGACATCCTTGTCTCTGAAATGGAGAGACATGTATTTGACTGACAGACCACTCAGTGTGTAAGGAATTGGCTGGATGGTTGCACTTAAAAAGTTGGCGTCAATAGTTCAATGTCCAAGTGGAGACCAGTGATGACTAGTGGTCCTCCGGAGTCCGTACTGAGACCAGAGGTATCTAATATCTTTGTTGGTGACATGAACAGTGGGACCAACCGAACCCGTAGCAAGATTGCCAATGACACCAAGCTGTGTGGTGTGGTTAACACATTGGAGGGAAGGAATATCTAGAGGTTCCTATCTAGAGGGACCTTGACAGTCTCAAGAGGTGGGCCTGCACAAATCTCATGAAATTTAGAGACATTGGGTGATTTTTAGGGTATCTTCCAAGCCAAAACATTCCGTGTTTCTATGATACGAACTAATAGCAAACTGAAAGGAATATTATTTTTGTCTGAATATAGACAGAGGTGGCTTGGGGAGGGACAACTGATTGTCATACCTTCTCTTTGGGAAAGTTTGAAACAGAGTACATTTACTTTTCATATTTGATAAGGGAGGAATCATGCTTCAATTGTCAAAAAAGTTAAAATTAAAATAAATAAAAATATACAGCTTTGCTCAAAACCACCATTCTTCAATTTTCCTTGCTTAATGCCAAGTTATATTCAAGCTTCAGATAGTCTCATTTTCAGCAGAGGAGCAGTGAATTAATTTTGGAAAAATTAATTTTTGTTAGTCTATGGAACATAATAGAAAAAGAAATTTTGCAGTGGAATACTCAGTGAAGCTCAGTTGTCTTTGAAGTTGTCATATGGAGAAGAGGAAATGTTGATGGGACAGCAGGAGCATGTTGGAGTTTAAAATTTCATGACAGTGTGCACTAAAAAGTAAAGGGGCTAAGAAAAAATAGTGCTTACAATGTGATACAGCAGGAATCCTGAGAGGTGTCCTCTGCTTTTATATTAGCATGCTATTATCTCAGTTCTTGATCTTCATTTTGTCTATAAAGCATATGTTTGCCTGTGACAATGCAGCTTAACCTTTAATGTGTTGTTAAACAAAAAATGTCTCACCAAAAATAAAATCAGAAGAGAATATAATTTTCTTCAAAACTGTGACACTCTTTGTCCTCACCTTTTATACTGTTCAGGAATTAAAAATATAGGATTCATTTAAAATGTAATGTATATTCAGTTAAGAGCTGCAATTGATATTTAGAATTATTTATAATTCATTCCTATATAGTTAAGAATAACACTTGCTTCTATTTTTTTTTTTTTTTTTTTTTTTTTTACCTATGTCAAGTTATTTTATCCTAGCCTAGAGGCTTCTCAGAATGATTCATATAATGCTGATGGGTGAAGATTTTTGTTTGTTTGTTTTGTTTTGGCTTCTAGATGATTTAACTAATTGTATGGACACAAGGACACTCTGTAAGCTGTTAAAAAGTACTTTTTTTTTTTTTTTTGGTCAGTTAGATTACTATAAGCACATTTTAATTCATACCACAACCTTGTGGATTGGTGTCACGTTCTCTAGTTGGCAATATTTCATGATAGACTTGGGTTCAGCTAGAACTGCTAAAAACAAGGTGCTGTTGCAATATATATATATTTTAAATGATTATTATTTTTTATTAGAAGTGTTATGAAGACTCAGAACACAGAATTATTTAAGTCTAGCCCTTTACTTTTTTTCAATAGCAAATGCGAAGAAAGAAAGGAGGATTTTGTCGTCTATTGCTCTGTTCAAGTTTCTGTAAAATTTCCTTACAAAGTACAACTGGATGTTATCACAGATAACTTTAAAATAGTGTCTGTTGAACTTTTACATACAATAAACTCCAAGAGATTATGTGAAAAAATAATGAAAGATATACAGAAATTCTGATATTAAGAGGAAAAAAAAAAGAAAAAAAGAAAAACAAAACAAAACAAAACAAAAGGATGGTCCAAAAGATCACAAAGAATAAATCATGCATTTATAGGTTTTCTTTAAGTTTCTGTGTCAGAACTAAATCTAGATTCAAATCTTTATTGGAAAGCTTTTAATAGAAGTAAAAATCTTCATAGAAAAATGTCTTTTTTCTTTTCAAAAATGTTACAAACCTGTCCAAGCAAAAATGTGCTGGATCTGGTTTCCTTTAAACAATAATAAATAAATAAATAAATAAATAAATAAATAAATAAATAAATAGATAGATAGATAGATAGTAAAAGAACCATTCTTTCCCTTCAATTACTTTTTGTTATGAATGTATTTCATAATAATATCTGAAAAGTATATATATATTAAAAAAAAAAAAAAAAAGAAAAAGGAAAAAAAAGAAAAAGGAAACTGTTATCTAACTCTCCATTCAACTCAATGAAACAAAATAAATGAAGTCACTAGTGTAGGTTTCAGTAAGGTGAGATATGAATTGAAACTTACTTTACTCCAGATTCTGACTTTTTTAATCAATGCGTATAAAATCATTGTATTCCCAATGTCTTTTATAATTGTTTACAGAGCACTTGAAGTATGTTTAAGATGTCTTTAAAAAGAGTGAGAAGTATTATTTTCCTCAGAGGAATCTGCAAAAGGATTTGACAGTGACTGAATGAGGAAAGTGTGGATGGAATGGAATTCAAGACAGCAACAGACGTGATGTTTTGTTAGGCATTTTAACCTTGCTTAACCCTAGGGATTTTTGTTAGGCATTTTAACCCAAGCACCATTTTTCTTGCTATTTTTACCATTACAAAATTCAACAGAAAGAAAGAGTTAACAGAATTTAGTGGGTTTTGTAGAAGGAAATATGGAAAGAGGTAGCAGAGAGGGAAGATTTATAAATGTGTATTTCTTACACAAGAGTATATAAAGAAGAATGCCACTGGAGAGAATAAAAATAGAATTAATTGACATAATTACATGCAAATAAATATAGGGAAAATATATGTGAGCTTATATGAAGTAGGAAAAAGAGAAACTGTGGAAAACATAAAGTGCAAAAACCATACAGAACCTTACATTTCTTACAAAGCTTAAGTCAAAGCAAGTAAAATGTTTAACCAGCATACATGATGAATTACAAGAGAGCAGAAAGAAAGAGGGAGACTACTAAACCACATTTCAGATAACTAACCAACTAAAAATTTTTTGCCATGTGACATTTTGCTATCTTTATAAACTTCTATTAATTAAAGAAGAGGAGAAAGTCATCTTCATGAATAAAACTACTTCAGAATTGGATCACTTCAAAATATGTAGGACTGATATACTTCAATGTCATATATATATTATGTGTGAGTATATATAGTATATAACACATATAATATATAATATAATATAACATATAATGATATATATTTTATAATACATACAATCATACATAATGTGACTTTGCAGCAATATTTTCTTTCAACATTCTGTCCCCAACACTCTTGATCACTGCATTTATATTCTGCATAAATCTGTCCATTATTTTTAGCTATGGTAAGTTTACTTATGTTATTATGCTGGCATCAAAAACAACTAATGAATGACAGTGCCAGACTGTGAAAAAGCAAGGTATCTGAAGGAAAGGTTTGTGCTACCAGGTTTTGATATTTTGAAATCTGTCTTAGATTGCAGTAACTTACCTGATATTTTTGTGTATATTTCTAGCTCATTGTGTTCTTAAGTGCCTGCATAAATGAACATCTACAAATACACACATAGCCCAATACCCTTGAACACACAAAAGCTGCTTTTGTTGTTTGTTGTTGTTGTTGTTTGTTTGTTTTATTTTTCTGTGCTTCTCAAATATAACCTCTTCATTAAGGTTTGTCATTGCAACTCCCTTGGTTACAGCCACATTTCCTGCTTTTCAAAAGAGAAATCAGAAAGCTACTAGTCCCTTATAGTGGTCATTATACCATCCCATTGTGCTTATAATTAATATAATTTAAATTTAACATCACATCCATATTCCCTGGCCTAACAGATGGTCCCCAAAACTAACAGATGTCATTTTATTTATTCACTACTGGATAGAATATTTGTGACATAACTGTTAGCTTCCATAGAAATAAATTTGATGTCAAAAACAGAGAATAAAGGTTCAACAATAAGAAGGAAAACATACATTAAATCATCATTTAAAAGTAAGGCCTGTGTTCTCTTGCATTTAGATTAAAGTCTAAGAACTGATTTAATGACTCATTCTAGTTTAGAAAACTCCTAGAATCATAGAAATACAGAATGTTTTGTGTTGGAAGGGACTGTAAAGATCACCCAATGTCCCCCTGACATGGCAGAGACACCTCCCACTAGACCAGGTTGTTCAAAGCCCCATCCAACCTGGTCTTCAACCTCCAGAAACAGGGCATCCACAACTTCTCTGGGCTACCTGTTCTAGTGCCTCACCACCCTCACAGTAAAGATTTTTTTTTTTTTTAATATCTAACCTAAATCTACCCTTTATGAGTTTAAAACCATTGCTCTATGTCCTGTCACCAGAATTTGTGATAAAGGGTCCCTCCCCAGCTTTCTTGTAGGCCCCCTTCAGGTACTGGAAGACTGCTATAAGGTCTCCCCAAAGCCTTCTCTTCTCCAGGATGAATATGCCCAACTCCCTTAGCCTGTCTTCACAGGAGAGGTGCTCCAGCCCTTTGATCATCTTCAC